ATAAGAAATTCTCATTTAGTTCAGTTACATTCCTGATTTTTCTATTTGTTTACACTTAAGAAGGAACATGTAATGATACATTTTAAAAAGATTACACATAATGGAACAGAGGGAATAAGGTGGGGAGGAGGGATAGACACTAGATTTCTTTGAATATACCCGTTTTTAGATCTGTCATTAGAACCCTAGAAATAGTTTGCATAACCATAAACCAAAAACTAATTCCTAAAAACATAAAATTAAACAAAAGCACCTTCCATTTAGTTGGTGTTTTTGTTCTGCCATGTTGGCATTTTTGCACTGAGATTACTGTAAGAATAATGTGGGCTGAATCAAATACATACTCATGTGATACTCTTATTTGTATCACCTTTGGGATCCTTGAACTCTGGGATTCTTAGGACTAGCAGATGGCATAATAATTACATTGCTGGACTCCCACATAGTCGACCATGGTTTGAGTCCCAGACCCAATAGCTTAAAACTCACTCTGGCCGCTTGTGTGTGTGCCCAAAATCCTGAGAGGAGAATGGAAGAGAAGGGGTTACAGTGCTCTCAGGGGTGATGTCTCATTTTCTATATCTCTGGCAAGCGCATGTGCCCTATAGCAAAAATCTCTCAGAAAAGAAAGAAAGGAATGAAGGAAGGAAGGAAGGAAGGAAGGAAGGAAGGAAAGAAGGGAGGGAGGGAAGAAAGAAGGAAGGATGGATGAAAGAAAGAAGACAAGACGAGACAAGACAAGACAAGACAAGACTGGAATTCTCAGCATAGGAGAAAGAAGATAGGTATATAACATAGAAGAGATTGTCATAATTGGATAGACTTGAATTGGAAGTGTAGCAGTATGCAATCATTATAATTCATCATATAAACAAGCTAAAGGTAAAAAATCATAGGATGGTTTTAACTGATGCAGAAAATCATTTGACAGAATCCAGTACTCTTTTATGGTTTTAAAAAATGCTCAGCGGTACCAGAAGTTGACATAATAGCTATGTTGCTGGACTCCCACGTAGCTGACCACGGTTTGAGTCCCAGACTTGGTGGCTTAAACTCATGCTGGGCATGTGTGCATGCATGCACAAGATCCCGAGAAGAGAATGGAGGAGAAGGGATTGCGGTGTGGCCATCCCCTCTGGAGGGTGATTTCTCACTTTCTGTCTCTCTGTCTCTCTTTGTCTTTCTGGTGAGCACACTCGCCCCACAGCGAAAACCTCTCAAAAAAAAAAAAAAAAAAAAAAAAAAAAAACGGTGGCCAGCAGTTAGCATAATGGCTATGTCGCTGGACTCCCATGTAGTTGACCGCGGTTCATGTCCCGGACCTGGTGGCTTAAAACTCAGGCTGGGCGCTTGTGCGTGCGTGCCCAAGATTCCGAGAGGAGAATGGAGGAGAAGGGATTGTGACATGGCCATTCCCCGTGGGGGGTGATTTCTCGCTTACTGTCTCTCTGTCTCTCTCTGTCTGGCGAGCGCACGCGCACTATAGCAAAAACCTCTCCAAAAAAAAAAAATGCTCAGCAAACTATGTTTAATATCTTTAGCCTTCAGGAAAATTTAATTTAAACACACAATGAAAAATATTTTTAGGAGAAATTTTTTATTATAGGGGACATGTGCTCACCGGGGAAACAGACAAAAAGCAAGAAATCACCCCCAGGGGAGATAGTCACTCTGCGGTCCCTTCTCCTCCACTCTCCTCTTGGAATTTGGACATGCCCACACATGCACCTGGAGTGAGTTTAAAGTCACTGGGTCCAGGACTCAAGTTACGGTAGGCCCTGTAGGAGTTCAGCTTGTCCATCTGCTGGTCCCCATACAATGAAATATTAAACTGACTAAAAAGTAGTGACAATACCAAATGCTGGTGAGGAAGTGGAGAAATAGGGTAACTCATATACTAATGGGAGGCAAAATGGTACAGCAATGCTGGATAGCAGTATAGTAGTTTCTTATGAAATTAAACATGGACTAGCAGATATCCCATCAATTGCCCTCTTGGACATTTGTCTCAGAGATATGAAAAATTGTATCTTATGAAAAGCTGTACACAAATTTCACAGATAGCTTTATTTGTAATAGCCAGTTCTGGAAACAACCCAGGTATCCTTTAACAGGCTAAACAAACTATAGTCCACCCATACCTTGGATATTACCCAGCAATGAAAAAGAAGGAACTATTGATACAATTTGGATGGATCTCCAGGGAATTATGCCAGGTGTAATAAAGCGAATCCCAAAAGGTTATATATTGTGTGATTCCATTTATTTAGCATTCTTCAGGTGTCAAAATTATATGAATGAAGAACAGAGTAGTAGGAATAGATCAGTAGGGGTGGTGGGGAGAAGGTAGGTAGGACAATGAAGGGCATCCGGAAGGATCCTCATTTTTGAGATGGAAGTATTCAGTATTTTGTTAGTATCCCGGAAATAATACTGTGCTATAATTTTGTAAGATATTCCCTCTGGAGGAAACTGGGTAAAGGATACTCAGTATCTCTCTATTATTTCTTAAAACTGAACATGAATCTATAATCTCAAAAAAGTTGTATCTTAGTAAGTGGCAGATCACTTTGAAAGTTAGTTTGGCAATTTTCAGTGCAATTAAACAGTACCTATGACCCAATTCCACTCCTATGTAATATCAAGAAATAGTGAGCACACTTGTCCACAGAAAGGTTTGTACAAGCTTATTCATAGTAGCTTTATCCATAATAGCTGGACTTTGGAAACAACCCAGATATCTATATTCTGGAGAATGGGTAAACCGTGATGTACTCACACAGTGGAATACTTTTTTTTTTTTTTTAAGAATCTTATATTAGACAGGATACAACATTTAAAAAAATAATTATTTAACTTTAATTAATTTTTTTATTTTAATTTGACTAGAGAGGGACAGAGAGAGAAAAAAAGAAATAGAGAAAGTGAGAAAGCAAGCCTCCTGGTCCAGGACTTGAACCGTGGTCATCCATGTGGGAGTCCAGCACCCTTAACCACCACACCACCTGCCAGCCCCCTGCAATGGAATACTTTTTACCAAAAAGGAAGGAAGGAAAAAGGGGAAGAGGGAAGGAGGCAAGGAGAACCAATAAGCAAGAAAACATGGATAAGTCTCAGAAACATTAAGTTTCTGAGAGGCAAAACTCACTGATGGTGATAGAAGGTGGAATAGTGGTTATGGGTTGGGGATGGTATCAGCTAGAAAGGCACTTGAGGAGTCTTTCTGCACTGAAGGAAATATGATTACAAAGGTGAATATTCATTGAGCTCTCCATTTAGTTTGTGCATTTTACTGTATGTAATTATACCTCAATAAAGTACTGGAAAAATTATCCCCAGTTCACAGAAATAAAAGATATCATCCAGGCCCACACTATATATTTTATTTGGATCCTCTGTCAAACAAGCTGTAGAAATATCTATTTATGACTATGAAGACTGAAAATCTCAACAATTTATGATCATTGATGACATTAAGGAGTTCTCATGAAATTTATGTGGTATAGTTAATATGTTTAAGACTTCTTATATTTAGAGATTGCTATCTGAATATTTGTTTCATCTCCAGATATGTTGAAATCCTAACCCCAAGGTGACAGTATTAGGTGGGATCTTGGGGTGGTAATTAGGTCATGAGGACAGAGCCTTCATGAATAGGATTAGTGCCCTTTAAAGAGAGGCCCCAGAGAGCTCCTTGGCCAGTTTCTGCTGCGAGAGGTTGTACTGAAAAGGCAACTGTGTAGGACACAAGCCCTCACCAGGTCGTATTTGTTGGCATTTTGATCTTTGACTTGCCAACCTCCCAAACTGTAAGAAACACATTTCTGTACTTACAAGGTGTCTAGTTGATGATACTTTGTAATAGCAGCCCAGAAGGACTAAGACAGGGATACATATATAGAGAGATAAGTGATTTATCTAGGATTTGCTTTAAAATAAAACAGATGGAGAGTACTAGGGATATAAATGAAACAAGATTGGCTGTGAATTGATTATTATTTAACCTATGTGACTGGATTGATTATATGGTTTACTTTTGACTTCTTTTTTTTTTTTTTCTTTTTTTGGAGAGGTTTTTGCCATAGGGCGCGTGCGCTCGCCAGACAGAGAGAGACAGAGAGACAGAAAGCGAGAAATCACCCCCCAGGAGGGATGGCCACGCCACAATCCCTTCTCCTCCATTCCTCCATTCTCCTCTCGGGATCTTGGGCACACATGCACACACGCCCGGTGTGAGTTTTAAGCCACCAGGTCTGGGACGTGAACCGCGGTCGACTACATGGGAGTCCAGCGACACAGCCATTATGCTAACTGCTGGTCCTTACTTTTGACTTCTTGATGCAAAGCTAAAAATTTAAAATATGAATAAAATTATTACCAATGAAACAAAAAAAATGGCTTTTGAGATAGTATGTTCTGAGGATGATCAAGGGGGTGATAAGAAAAAGTAATGCCGTGGACAAAGTTATTGCTTTGCTTTTTAAAAATGATTTATTCATTTATTTATTTAAGAGTTGCCTTGTTTGTTTTTTGTTTGTTTTGCCATGAGGAGTATGCACTCACCAGAGAGAGGCAGAGACAGTGAGAAGGAAAGTGAGAAATCACTCCCCATGGGGATTGGCCATGCTGCAATCTCTTCTCCTCCATTCTCCTCCTGAGATCTTGGGCATGGAATGCACATGCTCCTAGCATGAATTTTAAGCCACCTTATCTGGGACCATGGTCAACCTTTGGTCGGCCATGTGAGAGTCCAGCACCTCAACCAGGCCCCAGGATTATTACTTATCTTCATAGGGTATCTTCAAGAAATGGGGATTTCTAAAGATAGAAAACCATTCTGCACTCAATAGACACCCAAATGTATTGATAACTCATTGGTGAGATACTTAAAATGTGTTTATGATTATGTTAACACATACAGACACATTGCATAAACCATCTATCTGGTGAGATTAATTTTAGTTTATTCCTCTCTTGTGTTCTGTCTTGTTTTCTGCCAGGATTTAATGCTATTTTATGATGATGATGATCCAAAGCCACTTTTGCCAGCAATACCTACCTCTGTTATCTCTTCAAATACGTGGTTGTCAGAAGGGGAAGCAGAAGTTTATAACCTCTGGGATGCAGGTAAATTGATTAAGTAATAGGAACTTTATTCAGAAACACGAATAAGAAGCACTGAACAGACTTAATTTTTTTTTTTTCAGGGTTTTTTTTTTTTTTTAGGGTTTTTTTTTTTTTTGAGAGATTTTCACTGTAGGGCGCGTGCGCTCGCCAGACAGACAGAGAGAGACATAGAGACAGAAAGCGAGAAATCATCCCCCAGGGGGGATGGTCACGCCGCAATCCCTTCTCCTCCATTCTCCTCTTGGGATCTTGGGCACGCACGCACACGCGCCCGGCGTGAGTTTTAAGTCACCGGGTCCGGGACATGAACCGCGGTCGACTACGTGCGAGTCCAGCGACATAGCCATTACGCTAACTGCTGGTTCCCAACAGACTTAATTTTTTTTTTTTCCGGGTTTTTTTTTTTTTTGAGAGATTTTCACTGTAGGGCGCGTGCGCTCGCCAGACAGACAGAGAGAGACATAGAGACAGAAAGCGAGAAATCATCCCCCAGGGGGGATGGTCACGCCGCAATCCCTTCTCCTCCATTCTCCTCTTGGGATCTTGGGCACGCACGCACACGCGCCCGGCGTGAGTTTTAAGTCACCGGGTCCGGGACATGAACCGCGGTCGACTACGTGCGAGTCCAGCGACATAGCCATTACGCTAACTGCTGGTTCCCAACAGACTTAATTTTTATTTTCAGATTTTGTTTTGTAAAATATAGGAACAATTGCCTTTTATTTAACTTTGATAATGAGGGATATGATAAATACAGCCCACACATGGTCATATAATATTATTTTATCATTTATTTCAATGTTCTTTTTTATTTTACTTTTTTATTGTTTTATTTTAAAAACTTACTATAAACCTTTCATCTTTCGCAAATGGTTAAAAGAAGAAAGTTATTTTTCATTTCTTTTCTTGTTTTTATTAATTTCTTTTTGATGAAGAGTTTACATTTTCACGTCTTTAAAAGCAGGCATTAAGTGAACATGTGAAAAGATAAGATTCATAACATCAGCCTCTAAATAAGAGGCAAAAAGACTCTAAAAGAAAAAATGATGCTTATTTGGAAATAGACATTGCAATACAGAATATGCTTGCCATAGTAATCTATGGGCATATTCATGAAGGTAAGGGAAGAAAAACATTTTAAAAAAAAAAAAAGGAATTACTCAAGTTGTTTTAGGACAGTTGTCCTTGGCTCCTGGGGTCAATAGCAAGGATGATGGTTGTATAAGGTTGGACAGGCAGTTTCTGGGCAGAGGTCTTTGCAGAAGTATCCTTTGTGTAAGGTCACAGTGGCCTTTGTGCAAAGTTGTAGTTCTGGCAACATCCTTGTGACAGTTTTTGTTGTTGGGCATCTGTGCATAAAAACCATACCCTCCATGACCTTCTCTGTCTTCATTTATTTATTTGTTAGGGTTTTGACACCAGGGACTCTATTTTGATTCTGACAACTTTCACAATGGTATCCTATGAATTGGTTCATCATCTCTTAAATTATGAACGTTAGAGAAAGGCACAGTTTAAAATGATTCAAAACTGATCTTGAATAAATTACACCATTGAATCCCAACCTGGCTGTACTGTTACTCAAAATCTTTCAGGATCTAATTGTTTCACTGTTGAGCTACTCCATCCTGTCTGTTCTCTAGAACTCTCAGTTTCCACTGCATTCTTCCTCTTGATTTTCTCAGAAAGTACGATGGGCGGTCTTCTGCCAAGATGAGAATGAAATGTCCTCATTAATATCTTTCATCCCCTTACATATCTCTGCTTTTATGTACATCCAGCATCCTTTACCTCATTATAGAAGTGGCTCTTTTCTTTCTTTCTTTCCTCTTCTTTTTTTTTTTTTTTTTCCTGGAGAGGTTCTTGCTATAGGGATGTGCGCTTGCCAGAAAGACAGAGAGGGACAGAGAGAAAGAAAGCAATAAATCATCCCCCAAGGGGAGATGGCCACGCCACAGTTCCTTCTCCATTTTCCTCTTTGGATCTTGGACACGCATGCACATGCGCCTAGCATGAGTTTAAGCCATCGGGTCCGGGACTTGAAGCATTGTTGACTACATGGGAGCCCAGTGACATACATGGGAGCCCAGTGACATAGCCATTACACCAACTGCTGGTCCCAGAGGTGGCTCTTACATTTTGAGTTCCATCTTCTCTTCTTGGGCTATGCACCTCAAATTTTCTTCATATAGACCCTCAAGATTCAAAATATAAAAGCTCTAGTTTGCTAGTATAGATTTATTTTCATTTACAAGTTTGCATGTACTGGCTTTTCTTATAAAGCCAGTTGTGAGGACAATGAGGATATTTTAATAAAGAGTAAAATAAGAAACGGGGTTATTTTGATATTTGTATAAGGATGGCATTATTTATATAGAACATTAGTTACAAGTGGTTATAATTTTCGGACAACTTGTCTTCATGTCCTCGTAATGCATTTTAAGTAAATGCAATCAAATCCAGAAACTTGAAAGAAGAGCAATAAAGAAAACTTTTTCATATTCTAACATCCCATAACATTTTCACCTACTAACATTTTTTAAATACATTTTTTTTTTCTGAGCAGTTTCAGGTTCATAGCAAAATCGAGCAGAAAGTACAGAGAGTTTCCATATGGTCTCTGGTCCCCCCACCTACACACACACAGCTTCCCCTACTATCAGTATTCCACACCAGAGTGGTACATTTGTTACAAATAAATGAACCTGTTTTGACGTCATTATCACTGTAGTTTACATTAGAGTGTAGTCTTGTGTATTCTGTGTGTTTCAACAAGTGTACTATGACTTGTATATATTATAGTACCCAACAGAGTAATTCAACTGCCCTAAAAATCCTGTGTACCACCTTTTCATCTTTCCCACTCCCTACTCCTGACAACCATGATCTTACTGTCTCCATAGTTTTGCATTTTCCAGAATGTCATATAGTTAGAATCACCAGCGTAGTGCCTTCTCAGATTGGCTTCTTTTACTTAACATTCAAGATTGCTGTGTCTTTTCAAGGTTTGATAGCTGAGGGTTTTTTTTTTTTTTTAATATTGAATAAGATACCCCACAGTTTATTTATCCATTTACCCACTGAAGGATATCTTGGTTGCTTCTGAATTTTAGTCACAATGAATAAAGCTGCTAGAAACTTCCATGGTAGATTTTTGTGTAGAGTAAGTACCCCCCACCACCACCCCAATATTTTAATACAAATGAAATCAATATCAGAAACAGTCCTAAAGAGGAAAAAAAAATCACAAAACATGTAGTATAAGGGATGATCTCACCATTCTACTTGGCTAAGTCCCATCTTAATCAAAGAGACTTTTTCTATTTTTAAATCTTCCAATCTTTCCTTGACACTGGCCTCAGAGAAATCTTGGAAAAATGCAGATTTTAGCATTTCACTTCTCAGCTTAAAAACTTTTTAACAGTTCTCTACTGCCAATAGAATAAATAATTTTTTATACTGTCATATAAGACTTTTTATAGTCTGGCCCCAGTCAATCTTGCTGGCCTCGTCATCCAAAACTGCAATACTCACAATGCTTTGTAACATTCCATTACTTGTGTAGTTTCTTCCTTTTAGAATGTCTTTGTTCCAGCGACTGGCTGTGTAACACATTGCCCTAAAACTCGGTGGCACACAATATTCATTTATTCTGCTTGTGGATTCTCTGGGTCAGTAATTAGGACAGGACACAGTAGGGATGGCTTGGTCTCTGTTCCATGATATGTATCTGGACCTCAGCCTGGGAACACAAAGATTTGGCCAGGGATCAACTCAAGGCCTTCTTCCTTATATGTTTGGCAATTGATACTGGCTTCGGCTGGGGACCTCAGTTCTTCTCTACATGAGCTTCTACATGTGGGCTCTCTTGTGGGCTAGTTGGGTCTTCCTCACAGCATGGTTGCTGGATTCCAAGGGTGAGCATTCTGTGAAAGGACAAACCAGGCAGGGCCTGAATAATCTCAGAAGTCATGCTGTGATATTTCCATACTATTTGGTTCATCAAGGCATTCACAGAGTTCTGCCTAAGATCAGTGGCGGGGGATCCCATCTGCCCGTGGAGGAGTGTTGATATCATATTGAAAAAAAAGCATATTGGGTGGGTTGTATGTTGATACAGTCATCTTTAGAAGATATAGTCTACACAATCTTCTACAAATTACAGGTGACTGACAAAATTCTACTCAAACAGCAAGACCCTACAAAAATGTTACTACTGCTATTGGGTCATCAGGAAGGTCATGACATATTTTTGCATAGAAAAATACCTCATGACTTTCCCAATGACCTATTATAATGACCCTTTCTATATGCTAAACTAATCTCTCTTTTTATTATGTTCCCACTGGACTTTTCCCACACCTCTGTTACAGAATTTATCATTTTGTATCACAATTATGTTATACATTTTATTTTTAAATTATATAATCAGTAAGTGACTGTATCATTATTAAAAAAAAATAGATGAGGCTAAGTGCTCCTTTGATTTTACTTACCCCAACATAGGCCCTTCCCCAGAGTCAGCTGTTATCAATTAGGTGGTTAATTTCTAAACTTATCTCTGTGTAGGTACTTGTAAGTGCCCTTAGAAGTATATAGACTTGATTGTGCTTTATTTTGTATTAGAACATAGTTCTGTATTTTTCTGAAACTTTTTTTTAACTTAATATCACTTGGTGGGCCAGCCAATGGTGGGTAGTGAAGGTGACTGGATCCCACGTGACTGACCGTGCTGTCAAGAGTTCTAGACCCCTTTGGCTTCAGAAACACATCAGGTGTAAGTGCATGTGGGCCCAAGATCCTTAAAAGAGAATGGAGAAGAAGGGATTGCAGCATGATCATTCCCCTCAGGAGGGTGTTTTCTCACTCTCCCTAAACCCCATCTTTCACAAGTGAGTGCACATGTCCTATAGCAAATTTTTTTAAAAAATCACTTGATCATCTATCAGTATGTACCAATATTTAAAAATTTAACATTTGTAAAAACTCCTGCAATAGCT